CAAAAATGCTGTGAAACTTCTCATAGCGACCAACTCTGAAATGAACAAGACCCCCTCTTCCCAGCAGTCGAGTGGTAAAATCATTTCAGTGCGGGGTTCGAAACCCGGCGAATGTGTTACCTACGAGTCAATTCCCTTAGAAAATCCTCAACGAAGGCATCCCTCCCGTTCGGCATATAGCTCTCGAATGTTTTGCCATAATCAAATAAACTAAAACAACCTGAAATGACCAAGAACTCCTAGAACTTAATTAAATAATCGATAAAAATCTCGAAAATCATCAATAATTATGCTTTACGGGTGTGAACTAGAAAAATGTCGCTATGCTATTCCGCCCCCCTCTGCGGAAAAATCTAACAGTTGCGATCAAATTATATTATAAGTAGTTCCTTGTCTGTATACAGTTCAGTTGTTCTCACATTGTGTTTCCTTCGTGTAATTCTTCCGTTTTATTGTCATATGGCTTCTCTTGAACCGAATTACTTCGGTTCCTGTTCCGAAGTTGTAATCTCACTCCTTTGTATGCTTGTCAACAGCTTTCAGCTTTAACCTTATGCATGTATGCATAGAATTATGCTGAGATTTACATAAATCATTATTCTACAGGATTTTATAAGTACGGAAAGAACATGAAAACTGAGTACTTCTTTTGTTTTCAATTTAATTTATTGCATGCTTAATATGAAGTGGAAATCGGTCTTTTCAACACATTTTTAACCCAGTATTTGTAAAAAGTTCCATTGCAAAGTACTTGTTTATAAGCAATTTTCGATTATAAGATTATAAATCTTGATTTCATAAATAACTTTCTTTGTAAAGAAATGTTCATGTGAAAGGCTTTCAGTTTTCTGTTATTTGATTGTACAAAGAAACTATTTCCTTCTAAAGAAAGCTTAATGTAAACATCAATATGTGATGGTCTTTTAATACTTTCGGTTATTGGAAAATAGAAAAGAACACTTTAGCATACCTGGGGCATCTTAGTCGAAGACTTTTATAAAAAGCATTATAATCAAATTTGCAATGTCAAGAACAGCGTAATGTTTTCAGGAAATAATTTATGTGCTGTACTTCGCTATAAGCACAGTCAAGTATTTGTTGTAATCGTTCGTTAAAGTGTTTTAGCTAAAAGATATGAAATTTACTTACTACACATAAATAAAATTATATATATATAAATATATTATAACAATTTCTGTGTCAAATGTTTTAAGTTGTTTGTGAAATTATAATAATTTTCGTAGCAAATTTGAAACATTGTATTTGCCACATGAACATTTGTAAACTTTGCGACTGCAACACAATTATATTATGTTTAATCATTTCTTCATTCAGTTTAGCTAATGTTCTCAATGGGGAATATTATTTAAAATCATAACACAGGTTTTATTTTAAACCTAAATGGGCTATTGGTCTCGAAACGGGATTTTATGCCGTCCATTGTAAACGGCAAATCTCTTTTTCGAATTGTTGCCATCAAATATCTCCTTGTATTTTTAAAGAAAAAACATTTTATCTCCAGCGCGCGAGATTGGCTGTTCGAAATTCTAAAGACGTGTTGTTTTTAAATATTTTGCTGTTGAATTAAAGTGCATGTGGGACAAGTGCGAAGAACATGATATTTAATTAATAAATTTAACACACAAAACATTATTAATAAAAAGACAAAAAGAGTTTTGCAAGCCATCTTACTAGAAAACTAAATATTAATATAATAAACTGTGGAAAGACAAAAAAAAAAAAAAAGGTATAAAAATGTATGCCAACACTTAACACTGCATCAGGAATTCTAAATGTAAGCTACTTTAAAAAAAAATTTGTAATTTTGCTGTTAAACTGGATATGGCGGAAGTGCAAAGAAAATTATGCTTAATAATAATGCTAAAAACACAAAAAGAAATGGGTTCGCAGGAATGAGTGTAGCAGTAAACTGACGATGGACTGTGAGTTCAACGAGAGAGTAGAAAAACTTTAAACAAATCCTTTTGGACGACGGTTAAAATCTGAATTTAGCTTTTTTTTTTTTTTTTTTTAATCACACACACTTTTAATGTAACATGCTGCTTGAGTGGAACGGATTTTTGACATTCAACTCATAGCGGAAAAAATAAATTAAATTTATTAGTATATTTGATGCTTATTATTTTACAATGGAACCATGTGATAAAGAGCCATAAGATGTTACCGTTTTGCAAAAGTGATATTTTCCCCCTTGGCTGTATATCTGCAAGGTGGGAATATATATATATATTTTTTTTTAATTATCAAAATTTATCATTGCTGCATTCGACGATTAACTGCTATGATGTTTAACTCAAAATATGTCGGTCGCTTACTTCATGAACCTTTCCTTATGAATGTCATTCGTCATTGGAATATTCAAGAAACCCATCAAAGAGAAAAAAAGGAAGAGTGTAAGAGTGAACGTATCTTTAAAAAGGAAGGAAGTGTGGCTTAGGACTATCGGATATGTAGCTTCCGCAGCAGGCGAGACCACCATATAACTCGGTTTCTTTATGAATTCAGAATACTGTAGTTGTGAACTTGGCTTAAACCGGTGACCTTCAGTTCTCGATCCCACTCAAATTGCTTATTTCACAGAATGAATTTTTCCAGCTTTTGTATTTTCAGCGACTGCGGTCATGAATGGTTCTAAAAACGAGCAATCGGTCATCATCCCAGATAAGGAATTTAATCATGAAGCTAGCTGTATGCGATGACAGAGTTCTTCAAGAGTTTTATGATATTCTGACGTGATTATACTTACGCAAAAAAATATTTATCTAATGGGTGTATATCTTACCTATCCATTGATTCTTTTAGCTACTTTGAGTTGTCCAAATTTCTAGGCAGGCTACTTTTTAGCAGCAAGTTCTCAAACAAGGCTGCTTTTTGATGTATTTATTATCGTGGTATCGTCTGATGTTTTCTCAGTCTGTACTGTTAAAATTGAATGGGAATCTAAAGTGCCGTATTTGGCGTATGAAAACAGTTTTCCCTTCAAAACGAAATTCATGCAACTGTTTCATCTTTTTAAACGTCGGTTTTTACACTAATGATGGCACCAAAATTAAAATTCAGTATCCAGTTTTTTAAGACATTTAAGTATCCAAGTATCATTCATAATCATACAAACAGAGCACTGAATGTATCAATTCAAATAAAACTAGCAGCTATTTTCTGATTTGTTTTTAAAATTTCTAATTTTTCATACTTTTATAAGTTTTTCGAAAAGCATTTTGAGTTACGACAACATTTTTGGCGTCATCTTAAAATAGATATATTTCTGGGCACACCTATAAAACATTAGGTTTTTATTCAAAATTTTCCAAGATATACGCGAATTTATATAGTGGCGCCTTTTCAAATTTGGCATATTTTTTTATAAGCGATAATAACGCCAAATATGCTTTACACGCTTTGTCTTCTTTTCCCCTGTGTACCCTGGAAAAGGGGAAAGGAAACAGGTTACTTCTTACTTAAGTAAGAATTTCTGCAAGTGAATTATTCTTGGTTTAAACTGAAAAAAGTGCGCCAATATAAATTTTTAAATTTCTCGGTAAGTTTATTACCAAATTTTGCAAAATTTAATATTTGGGCATAATTTGAATCGGAGAATCGAAATACGGAAAAAAAAAAGTCAGTATGTCATTTCAGAAAAAGTCCACTTTTGTGTCAAAATACCTATATTAGAACAATCGCTATATGTAAATCTAATATATATCCCAAGTCGCAATTTCGAGACATGAAAAACTAAAAGTTAAATTTCGTCAGTTGGCTCTGTAGAACGGGAGATATAGAACTGACCCATCTCTTTTTACGGAAGGGGGCAAGGTGTACCTTTCAGCGCATTTGCCTTTTCTATCTAGATTAGAAATGAAGTGGATTAGATTATGGAATTACATGAAATCATGCTAAGACTAACATAGACTAATGCTTTCATGGATGACGTTCTAAGGCAAACTGATTCATGCTTATGTTATACAGTAAGTAAACCACGAAAGGCAACCAGCTGTTTGAAGTATAACGAATAACACTCGGAGTGATATAGAAGCATTTTAAGACTTTTAGCGAATTATTCACTCATAGATTCTTTCCTTTCTTAATAATTTCAATTAAAAACAACACAGGATTGAATTCTGGCTTTACTACAGCCCGATTAAGCCAGTTTAGGTACATTTTTTTTAACCGCTTAAAATGTAGAGTCTTAGGCCTAAATAAAAGCAAGAAAATACATCAGAATATTTCTGATATCATATGCGAATCCAAATATAATTAATGTTCCTAAACTATGTGAAGATTTCATTAATTCAGGGCCCACCAGCGGCCGACCGGTAAAGTCGCTGAACACTGGTAGTTCGGTCCGAGGTTCGAATCCCGCGAACGGGCTGGCTGCATGGGCGTTTTCGTGGTTTTCCCCATGTGTAACGTGTATACGAGCCAGTTCCCTTAGAAAGTCCTCCACGAAGGCACCCCTCCTCTTAGGCAGATAGCCCTCGTGTGCTTTGCCATAATTCAATACACACATTAATTCAGAAATGAGGAACTTTTGTATGTCTGATAAAATTCATGCCTTAGATTTCGTTCTTTTCAGTAAATTTGCTTTGATGACCTAAGTTTAAAGTATGAAAAATATTTTTTTCAGTGCTATGCAACAGCTATATTATACCCCTGTTTTTTTTTCCAAATTTTCATGTCATGTTTTTATTTAAATCAAATGCGGTATTCATCAATCATGCTATCAAGCGCGATCGTTTATTTGAAGAACGAAGTTTTCAGACACAATTTAGGATGAAAACTAAATAAATAAATAGCCGGAACTTATTTCGTTTATCTGGGTCACCATTCCGTTTATTAGAGACGGGTCATTCTCAACTGTGCTCTGCGCATGAGCTATGGCAGTCTAGCTCGCGCTTGTGACGTGAAACAATCAGTAACATCGTTCAGGAAAGCTTAGAGCAGTTTTTTAGAATAGCTTTAGTTTAGGTTTCTGCAAGGCGTGGTGATTGTTTTGGGAGCTTTTTTGCAGAGTTTTAAATTTTTCCAAGATGCCTAGAAGAGATATGACACTTGCTGAAAGAATTGTTGTGCTGGATGAAATCAAGCGACATACACCTAGTACCAGTAACCGTCGTTTATCGCAACTTACTGGTGTACCAAAATTTACAATTGCTCGCTTAATGCAGCATGAGCATAAACTACGTGAAGAATGGGAACTGTGTAAAGGACAGCACCAAGCATCTCAAATGCGGAAGCGGGAAGGAAAGAATCCCGGTGTTGAGGAGGCTCTGAATCTGTGGTTTCTTTTTGCATCTGGACAAAGAATGCGTGTTAATGGTCCAGTGTTGAAAAGAAAGTCAGAGGAAATAGCTAAGGAATTGGGCCATGATGACTTTAAAGCAACAGATGGTTGGCTGTCTCTGTGGAAATGTAGACATGAGATTAAATTCAGGAAAACGTGTTACGTGAAAAATTATGCTGGTATTTCCAGCTGTGAAATGTATGAATCCAACAAAATGTCCAATTTGTTACCATATGAGAGAAGTGAGGAAAGCTGTACATATGCATTTGGACAAGTAACCTCAGAGGATGCAATGAGATTTATTCATGGTTTGCGATGCTTCTTCTTGCAGGAAGGCAATGAAGGTAGTCCATTGTCTGCATTAAATGCCTGTGCTGAATTTGTTTATTTACTGTCACTCAAAAAAACATAGCGAAAGGCGCTGGATCTACTTGCTCATTTAATTACTGTTAGACATAATAATAGAATGGTAAGTATGTGCGTGTTTGTAATACGTTTCAATAATCTGAGAGATTCTTTCGGAGTTGTTTAAACGTAACGTCACCTTGAGAATAAAGTGTATTTTAAAAAGTTTTGAGTAAAACGTTTAACGGTTTTTCACGTTAGTATTCGAAAGATTCGAGTGACCCAAGACAATACAAAGGTTTGAGTTTTCGAATCCTGAATCATTTCAGATTTCTTGGACGAGAAAGTCCATCCTTTAAAAAGAAACTAAATTTTTATTTATTTTTTAATATAATGCGTATAATTTAACTACAGTTTCAGGAATTCTTTTTCTTTAATGTATACAGATTATGGTTCCATTCACACGTATGTATTGATTGATTTTATTGGCTAATTGGCTGATATAAGCAGTGCGTAACTGTGCGGGCTTATATCAAACGAAAACCATGTCAGATCTTCCGGAACTTTCATCTTCTGGTCCGGTAAATAGACACTGTTTATATTGTAAGCTGGATAATCAGATGGCAAAGCAGCGGTCAGTTGATCGAAATATAAAAATCTTTTTATCTTCGAAGAAAATAAAGCATTTGAAATGAATGAACTTTTGGTGTACACAAATTTTATTTTTAAATTCCATAAACCAATAGTTTCCTAAACATGCAAAATTGTTACTATCCTGGAATTAGTCTTCTGAGGGGGAATTTTATATGCAGGAAAACTTTGTACTTATGAGTTTTATTTCAAAATTCTAGGCTAGTTCTTATCATACACCTTATACATATTAGAATTCTTACATGCAAACACTTCATGCGAGAATTTGTTACTCAGATTCAGCTTTAGCTGCAGGTTACGTTTAGTTACAGTCATAACTATGAAGTTATTAAGAAGCAGTCTAACTACAACTGGATTAATGTAGTTAAACTGCTGATAGTCGCCAGTGTACTGTCAGCAAATATTTCAGTTCTGTGTTGTTTATTGTAACTTTATCAAATCATAAACGTTATCGTTTTTCTTAAGCAATTTCTGACATAAAATATGTTTACTGTCATTTGGAGTTGTTGTTGACTTGTCTTACCTAACGATACCGCTCCTTCATGGTGATAACTTTGGTATCGTTTTAGGGGGTTTATCTAATTTTGAAATACTTTTCCCGGAAAATCCAAACTTCGAGAGCTTTGTCAACCTCATATGGCGCAATGAAACAATATCACATTTTTTATTACCAGGTAGAACTGTAATGAGTGTCGATTTAGGGTAAAAAAAAGACAAGATAAAAATTCGAATACTGTCAAGCAATCACTTTGTGTTCCTGGAAATGGTATATCTTCTGGTTCCTGGAAATGTAGTAGATAAAAGCTGTATCGGAAGTAGTTCCAGTGAGTCTTTTGAGCTTTCGATGAAGAGATACGAGGATGCTGATAAAAAAAAAAAAAATCCTGTCATTTTGCCTTAGGTGAGAATATTTTCATTTTCGTTTCTGCGCAAGAGTTCATCAATATGGCTGGTAAGTAGACGAAGAATAAAATACTTCGTTTCAAAGAGGGGGGCAATGCATTCTTTTAGTTGCTAACTGTTGATCTCATGCTACCGGTTACTGTAAAGAATAAAAATATATTCTGAAAAATTAATTTTATTATTTGTTGGAGAGAAACATATCAGTTTGAAACTTTCTATGGTGGCTTTTTTAAATCTAGCTATTTGCTGATGTTCCGTTTTCGAAATTTAAAATATTCGCGCTCCCCAAAGAAATTAATATCAGTTATTTTATTTCTTAACATTTAGTTAAATGGCAAAAATATGTATTCTATACAATTATCGTAATATGTAATCTTACCGTATTCTGCTGATTTTATATCACCAAAAATGTTACTTCTTTATTTGTTCATGGAACTGGCTATAACCAAGAACTGATGTACATATATTTTTATGTGCTCATTGAAATGTCTGCACTCATGTGTAAGAAAAAATACTGTTCTATGTTAAACCATACAAAAAATTCATTTGGTTCATGTGGGTGTGCATGTATGGTTTTGTGATTATGCTGTAAGGTCATTAGGTTTTATGATGCAGGAAAAGTGAATAAGTGCAATGCCTTCGCCTGGACTCGAATCCTGGACCTCTCGAATATACATCGATTGTGCTTCTAGTTACACCATGAAAACATGCGGAAAAGAGGGAGAAAATACCTTACATACTTCCCCTTATACAGGGCGAGTGTGGATTAGGAGACCCAGTCGCCAAAACCTGATGGTGAGAAATTATTGTCCATCACTTTCTAGTTCGGGTGCCACTTCTAGAGTCATTTCAGTTTTTTAAATGTTGAAAACGTGAAAATGTGCAGTTTCTTCGCCTTGACTCGCACACTGGACCTTTCGAATACACGTCGACTATGCTTCCAAATACAACACGAGAGTATGCGGGAAGGAGGAAGAAAATACCCTATAAATGTAAACTAAAATTGCTTTTGAATAATGTGTTTAAGTGTTTAAAACTGCTTTGAATGCATTTACTTCCTGCCCGTTTTGAAGCAACTCAAAGGTGCATAGGTGCGTACACAGGAATTTTCTATATAAAGCATTTAATTATCGCTACTCTTTAATCTCTTAATTATCGCTAAAGAATTCATCATGGATTTTCCGTGGGAGAATAAGTTACCAAGCTTAGGACCTGTATGATTCGCGTAATTTTTGCATTTGGAAATTTGCATTCTTATTTTTTGATAAAAAGTGTGCACAATAGCATGAATGTATATTTATCCGTGATGTGGAGAACATTGTTGAAAATGCTTTTGAATTCCATGGAATATCCTGAATGAGCATGGTGATAAGGGAATACATACACATTTACCGGATTTCTAGGAAATTATTTCACTTAATAAGTATATAGTTGTACAAAGCATTAGCATCACCAAATATTATCGACCTGTGTTATATTGAAGAAACTAGATAATGAAGAATCTATATGAATGTTTGGAATTAGCTTTATTGTCCATTTCATATTTTGTGAAACTTTTTTATTTTGTCTATTTCATATTCGTAAAACGAATTTTTGATTAACAAACTCAACGATTTCAAAGCGAGCAGTGGCAACACACTGTATGGAATAAAATATTTTTTATGTCCAGCACGTCAGACCGTCTATCGGAAATTCTAAGAATCTGCTCTTTCCGAACAGGACATTAATCTCGAAATGGCATTTTACGTAGAAGTACTTAAATGCGTCATTCCAAAATTTAACGAAAAGTACTGTATTTCATCTGAGGTAAAAAGAGGTCATCACGAAATGCATTAACTTAATTTGAATATTTGACGCTCTTAATGAAATTCAGCATTTTCGACCCTTTTTATCTTTTTTAATTATGATAATTCGAGGTGTTACAAACGTGCTTTATGATACTTTAACAGCCTTGATTTAGTATATACAAAAATACAATGGGGTTAATTAATGCAAAATTCTAAATGTTTTCCTTTTACATTTCAGATAGACTGCTGAAAATACCATTTGTTGGCCCATCTTCTGTTGACTCTTGTAGTCATCTCACGAACAGCTAACCCCTCTTCAACTGTACGCCGCCATGTTGACTAGCTATCAAGCCCTGGATTCTACCTTCAGCAATCCCGTCGCCACTTGCCCGTCTTTGCCTCATTCCTCTTCAGGAGAGACTCATCACCAACAACAGCACTGCTTCCAGCTGCCTTTGGAACGGCAAGAGGGGCTGTGGCTGAACGGTTGTTCCGTAGCCACTATCTGCCAGGAAGACTTCTGGTGGAGGACAGAAGATCCGTATCCTAAAGATTTCTTAGACTTCTGCCAAGCCGACAACATTGTCGAGACCCCAGCGGCAATGGAAGTCATCGATCCAGAGGATGACCTCAAACGCCTCATCAGTAACGATCTGAAATTGAGGCTGAGTGGATACTACTATGGCAATCTTAGCTGGGTGGATGCTTCTCATCTTCTAAAACAATGTAAAGTTGGTACATTTTTGGTGCGGGACTCTGAACACTGTAGTTACTTATATGCCCTCTCTGTGCAAACCCGCAGGGGTCCAACAAGTTGCCGGATAGAATACGACCATGGGCGTTTTCGATTAGATTCTTCTGAAGAACTCACAGACAAAATGCCTCGCTTCGAGTGTGTAACTGATCTTGTTGATCATTACGTTCAACTAACAAAGAACTTGCCGCGTAAGAGCTCTGTCAAAGAGTTGTCTCCTGTTTGGCTGGACATGGATGAAGAGAATAGTATGGACGTCCCGGTTCAAATATACAAACCTCTGTATAAGGGGGTTCGAAGCTTGCAACACATTTGCCGTGTCAATATGGTGAGGATTCAACGCGAACGTTACCCATCTATGTCTTTGTCTAGGACTATTGAAGAAAATGAGTACAAAGTTTTGCCAACTGTATTGAAAGATTACTTGAAAGAGTATCCGTACTCTCAATGATATATCCGAAAATTTAGGATCTTAACTTCATTTAATTAATTTAGAATGACTTCTGTCACAAATGCGGTGAAACCTGTATTCCACCAAAAAAAAAAAAAGTGTCAGTGCTATTGTGTGCGTGTGTGTATGTAAACAAAATAAATGCATGCAATACTGGGAAAGAGCTACATAAATGCTGAGGGAAAAAAGAGGACTAAGATTTGAAAAGCATTTTAAAATATGTTTTATGCAAAAAGTAAAAATTTTAACTACTCTGAAGGTTTTTATGTGAGTAATAATTGTGATACTATGTATTTGGTTTTTAATAGAAGGTAAGAGAATGGATTTTTAATCTGAAATTTGTCCGTATACACAACCTTTTTATTATCTTTCTATTTAATTTAATGGTGGATCTAATTTTTATTTTTGAATTCTATATTTTTAAAACACGTTTACTAGCGCTTGTTTGAGTAGATATTGCATAGCTGAAGCACACATGTTACCGACCACCCGGAGATTAAATTTTTTTTCACATCCATACAGTTTTTTTAAAGAAAATAAAAGAGAAAAGTTGTATATATCTTTATCATTTTTATATCATTTTTTAACTTTGCTTCCTGATTATAATAGAACTTTAAAATCGCAGTAACATTTTGTGAACCAAAAATTATTTCTTTGCGGGTAAATAAAATAGCAGGTATTTATGATCCTTTAACTACTTAAGCGAGGTTTCGTTTTGTTTCATTGCATAAATCCATTTTGAATTTTAACTCTTTTTATGAAAAGGGACCAAACTGTCAAAACGTTTCATTTTACGTTTTGCAAAGTGTGCATTTACCCATGACAATAGAATAATACCTAAATTTAGTATAATATTTTCATTTTTTTGTTGTTGTTGTATTGAGTATTTGTAGTTGTACAAGACGTGCCTCGATGAAACTTACGTTGTAATATTTCATTTGTTTTGTTGTACATATGTATTTTCGATTTTCCAAGAAAACAGTATTATCTGAAATGATTTTTATTCAGACTGAATGTTTCAAAATTTTATTTCACGAATTTTTATCTAATGGGCATCCAAAATGCCTAATTTGAATTGAAAATTCTTTGAGTGTATATTTGAAAATTTATTTAACTAGTATGAAATATTATTTAGACATTAGGATTATATATTTTGAAATAAATTTTTTCATCACATTTTGAGAGATAGTGATTTGTTTAAAGTGAATGTCAAACTGTGGCATCAAAAGCAAGAAATCATCTTTTTTTCATATCCCTTATGTTGCCATTGGCAAATCCTCGAAATCAGACGAGAATGACTGTTAAATTCACATGTCCATCGAACTGCATGATGTATATTTGTACGTTAATACATACATGGAAACGGCAAATCCTCGAAATCAGACGAGAATGACTGTTAATAATTCACATGTCCATCGAACTGCATGATGTATATTTGTACATTAATACATACATGGAATTTGCATAAAGATTAATTTAAATGATCAAAAACATTTATTATAGTAGAACTGCAAACGTCTAAACAAGTTAATGTTATAAAACATCTAGAGAATTTAATTTATCTTTACATTCATCAGCTTTCACGATTAAAGAAAGCTGAAAAATTTTTTAAAGCAAAATACAAGAAACTAATTAAAAGGTGTAATTATTTATATATGAGATAAAACTAAAGAATAATAAACTTAGTTAATAGTACATAACTGCTATTGTTTATTTAGTGCTGAGAGAATAATTATTTAAATGTATTGGTAACCAGTTTACATATACTCATTCATCGAAATTAATTTAATAACTTATTAAAACACATACTGCTTTGCATTGTTGCCAATTTCCCCGATTTTCCACCACATCTCCAGGTCTATAAGTAGATTACACAAACTCCCGGTTTTTAATTTTTAGTTTCGTATTCGCTTTTGTACATAATACTTCGTCCTTTCGTTCGGAAGACTACAGCTGTTGTATAAAGCTGAACACGAATTTAGGGTTCATGCTATTGATAAATTCAAAGTTCCAAAGTAATGGTCTCATGAAGTTTTTCAGGAGAAATATACTCTGCGGAATGGCTGTGACTGGAAATTAATATCCAAGTTTCCCCTTATACTGAATTATCAGTTTTTATTATTTCTCACAATAATGCTGAATATGAATGGATATTCTGTTACATGAAGAAAATAAGGTCAGAATTTAGATCACCTCTTTTAAATGCAGCTTTTGTATAGCGGCAATAAATGTTTCACTACTAAATTTATCCACGCTATTTTATGTACATTATTAGTTTACATCGCTTTTAAAGTGCTTTGATAAAAAGCTTTTTTCAAAATTTTAAAATTAATTTTTCTGTTGGTAAGAAGTAAGTTTGAGAGCTATATTTTTTAATTTATTATTTTCGTTAGTAGAAAATGGTATTCTAAAATAATCGCTTGGAATTTCCATCCATTGCGAAGGAACTGCCTCTGTGTTCGTCTACTCGTCTGCCATCGACTTGACCGACTTTGGGGTCAGCATTAGAACTCGTTTCGACCTTCATGCCCTTCTACCTATTCACCAAACCGAGGAACGTTCTGCTATCAAGTCGTCTGCTGTATCTACTCTTTTGCTTTTCGGCCAAGTGTTCTTTCATAAAAGAAAATAAGTAAATGAAGAAAATTACACCAGCCCGTTTATTTGCGCAAGAGTTGTGCAGAAAAATAATCAGAAGAAAACTTTGAAAGAAAAGGAATGAAAAATGGTGGGGAATTTTGGCGGTCACTGCTTGGCTGCGCTTAAGAAGGGCCCGTATAATATGATCTTCAATTAAAAAGTGATCTTTGCACATAAATGTGCAAGAAGCCAGATAAATTTAACTGCGGGGATGAGAAAAAAGGCGGCAGCCAGCATTCTATTTCATAATTAAGAAAATACGTAAAATTAACATTTGTCTGCTTCGTATCTTATTTGCATGAAAATTTTAGTAATGCGATGTGTGCTAAAATTCAGAGTAAGGTTTTTTTTTTAAGTCATTATTTTTAATAAAGAACCGGTTATGGTAATATATACAATGAATGGTTTAATGTGAGGAATATATTTAGATATAGAAGGTGACATAATTTATAGACCTATTAGACGCTGAGGATGGTTTGTGGGCTACAATTCCTGCAAACATTTAGTTAGAATTCATCTTCGAGCTGTTCGGGACAATCCTTTCTATTGATGTTCTCGGCTGTTCTTCCGTTCTAGCTGAGGTATATTCGATGTTTGGTTCTTGCAAGCCAAATGTGATTTGCCTAAATAAGAGAGGTTCGTCGCATATCCTTTCTGGAAAACGTTGCATTTTGCAAGTTTCTGAAAGTACATTAGGTGACCTTCTGTTCCACAGTTCATATATATATATGGGTGTGTATTATATTCCTTAATGCTTATAAAGAATTTACAAATGCAACACCTTAAGTATTCTTTAATTAAATTCATCACTCGAAGAATCAATATCAATAAAGTTTTCTTTCCTCAAAATCCCTAACAAAATTATGTGACTTGACCAAAAATAAATATATACCAAATTTTCAATAATGCATCCTCCCTTGTTCCTGTGGGCCCACCAGCGGCCGAGCGGTAAAGTCGCTGAACACTGATAGTTCGGTCAGAGGTTCGAATCCCGCGAACGGGCTGGCTGCATGGGCGTTTTCGTGGTTTTCCCCATGTGTAACGTGTATACGAGCCAGTTTCCCTTAGAAAGTCCTCCACGAAAGGCATCCCTCCCCTTAGCAGATAGCCCTAGTGTGCTTTGCCATAATTAAATACACCAACACCACCACCCTTGTTCCTGTGAACAAACTTTGAAATGCATTTCAGAATGTTGGATTGGTGTTCCCATTATCATTAAGGCAATTATAATATGGTTCTGTCAGACACTTGATTTAGTTTTTATTTTTCTTAAATATGTGAAATTTTATAGGTATAATTTTCAAAAATAAGATGATATAGTCTTGTTCAAATAGAACGCGTCAATATATACACCATAATTTTCATTTTCTTTTTGCCTAAAATGTAGGTATGATTAAATACTTCTCATCATTCAAAAAATATTTTCAGCATTTTTATCTCACGTTTCGCATTTTAAAATACACAAAATTTATGTCATGTTTTCATTTATTAGTTGGTATTTATGACGACAGAATGCATTAGGTTATCTGCTTTAGTAGAGGCACCTTTATAAAGGAAACTTACTTGCATTTATGTTATACTTGCCAACAGAAGCCGAATCTACGATGAAGATTAATAGTTTTTTCCATTCATACCGAGTGGATAAAACTCTTTTTTTGTTCGGCTAGACATAGGAAGAAAATCTATTGTGATAAAATAGAGTAATTTGCTGTTACGGTTTGACGTTCAAAATTTTGTAGTAATTGTAATTTATTGGTCACATGAAATAAATGTTCATAAATTGATTTATCCTTTCATTTTGCATAGCAGTATTTAAAAATAAAGAAAAGATTTGTTTGGAATAAAAAATACTTTTCTTTTTCATAATTTTTTAAATTATCGACCTATTCATTGCAATTCAATATGATTTGCATTTCAGATTTAGCATTTTTATGCTAAATCTGAAAATTGTTCTTTATTAGTATGAAATAAAATTAGTAATAATAAGCCATTCAAATCATATAGGAGTTTTCCTAAAAAACTGAAACCAATCATTTGTTTCCGTAAATTTAATTGAAAATTTACACATTTTTGGTTGCTTAAAGTAACAAATATTTTAATTTAATATAGGATTTGAAAAGCTTTTCTTACAATATTCATAATAATTTTTTTAGTCATAAAAATATTAAAAGGAAACTAATTTTATAATTTAATAAGGCGGAACAATTTCGATACCTTATATGTCATATTGAAACTGATCCGTCTTCCAGGGAGTTATGCTTCTAAGCATGAGCCTTTATTGACACCTCACTTCTTTGTTTCCCTTTCTTCAATGTGTTTTTTATCTTTTGTGTGAGTTTAAGTGGCACTGCCGGATGTCTTGTGAACTTTTTTTATGCCCTTGAAGCGTCTTGGCCGCATTTTCATGTAAGTTTGGTTGTGGCATGTCGTCGTTCGTTAAAACTGGGGGGGGGGGACTGCTAGATCTTGCTATTTATTGACCAATGTAGCCTCAGATGGTTCGTGCCTGTGTAATATATTTCTTGTTTTGAAAAAAATATTCAAATTGCCAAAATAAAATTTATTTATATTTAAAACCATCAACCTGTGTCTCGCATTTCATTTATTTCTTATAACATTACACTATTTATGATTGTTAAAAATTTGTTCTGGTTTATTTAAATGAGTTATTATATTATAAAATCTATATTTTAAACAAATGTTATTATTACTGATCATTATTTAAATTAAAGCCCCATAATTTTTACAGTTGTCATTCTTTTAAAATTATTAAGTTTATCAATAAGAACAAGATTTAAAACAATTTGGAAACATATGTGCAGAAATTCTTTCAAATTTCATTTATACTGAGGCTTTCAATTATACATAAAAACTTTTATTTCCTTATAAGGAGAGGTTTAGTTTAAGAAGGAAACGCATAAAATATGACAAAAACACAATTTTTATATTTAAAAAGGCGTACGTTTCCTTCATAATGTTTAAATAAAAGCAACAAAAATTGTTACTTTTTTTCCCCGAAACTTTACTTAATTCACTTCTATTAAGGTATTTAATTTTTTAACCGAATTTTAATATATGTACTTTATTCAGTAGTAATATTTAAAATCTTTACACTTTGGGTGATATGGACAGTGACTTCTCTTTCTTAGACGACTCTTTATGTTTCCAAAGACTTTGTCATCTGTGGAGGTTGTTATGTTATAAAGATGGTATCCGATGTCAATGAAACAAACTAATCTGTTTTGAATTTTTTATTATTATTATTTATCAAATGCGACCATCAGGTCATTAGGCAACGAGCTCTCCAGTACTTCTTTACAATATAGTCCAAACTCTTAAATGCACACGTCCAGATGAGCAGCGTCCATGACTTGCCCAGAATCACACAAAGCACATAAAGGTGAGGCAGTCAGATTAAAACGAAACGAATGAGCACCAAGGCAGTCACGTCCAGTCAATAGTCTAAACTCAGCAGTAGCACGAGGAGAGTTCGTGACACAACAAAAGTCAGCTTTTAATAGCACCCTCCATGACTT